GGACTATATCCCAAGAAACCAGAAACAGCAATCAGAAAGGATATATGCACCCCTATGTTCATAGCAGTACAATTTACCATAGCTAAGATCTGGAAACAGCCTAAGTGCCCATCAGCAGATGAATGGATTAGAAATCTGTGGTACATCTACACAATGGAATACTATGCTGCTGTAAAAAAGAAGGAACTCTTACCATTTGCAACAGCATGGATGGGACTGGAGAACATTATGCTAAGTGAAATAAGCCAGTCAATGAAAGAAAAATACCACATGATCTCACTTATCCTATCTAATAATAGACAAACATGGTAATTGACCATACCTTCGCTACGCCTCCCATTGGTTAATCAGTGTGATATACAAATTAACCGCCAACAAAATGGCAGCTAATTTGCATACTGCAGGCAGATCCCACTCTGCCACCCCGTCTGGGGCTGGTGGCAGCGCGATCCCCAGCCGCCGGCCGCCCTGGCCAGGGAACCGAGCCTGCTGTGTGCGGGGTGGGGTGGGCAGCAGCGCAATCGCGAGCCGCCGGCCTGCCCCAGCGCAGGATCCGGGCTTGCCGTGTGTGGAGTGGGCAGCAGCACTATCTGAGCAGCCACCCCACCCAGTGCGGGATCCAGGCCTGCCATCTGTGACCGGGGGAGACGGGGCAGACACTGCAGGGTTGGGCGTGCCATCTGACACCAGGGGAGCGGGCCTAAGCCAGCAGGTGGTTATCTCCCGAGGGATCCCAGACTATGAGAGGGCACAGATTGGGCTGAGGGATCCCCCACCCCTGCCAGTGCACAAATTTTTGTGCACCCTGCTTCTAGTTTATGGATAATTAAGACCATTATAAACTGATGAATAAAAATAGATACAGAGGCAGAGCAGCATCGAACAGACTGTCAAACTACAGTGGGAAGGTCGGGGAGGATGGGGAGGTGGGGTAAGAGATCAACCGAAGGACTTGTATGCATGCATATAAGCATAACCAATGGACACAAGACACTGGGGGGTAGGGGAGGCCAGGGGAAGGTCAAGGGAGGAAAAACAAAAAGGAGACATATGTAATACTCTTTGTAATACTTTAAGCAATAAAACAAAATTTTAAAAAAAAGGTAGTAATATTCCTAATAGCTCCCAGATAACCAGAACCTAGGCACAGAGAAAGAGTAACTTATTACAGGGTGTCCCCCGCAAAAAAATGTATACACACTTTAACAGCTAAGAGCTCAATTTTGAAAATGAAATGTATCTTCATAAACACTGCCTTTATAATTATTCAAAAATGTGTGTATATTTTTCTTGGGGGGGGACACACTGTATATATTTTTCACTTTCTGATTCTTTGATGGATGGAAATAGAATCAGAAAGAGAAAGAATGTAGGAAGTTTGCCTAGAAAATAAAATCTTAATACATGGTTAGAACTACTGAAACTTAGTCTCAAATGCTGCCTTACAAAAAAGACACACCAAACACTACTTTTTTCAAGTCTCAAGGTAACCAGTAGAGAGACAAAACTATAATCTACATTAAATGCAGAGCCCTAACTAAATAGTAACATTGAGATCAAATTTCAGGACTATCGCAAGGAAAAGAAGATGAGGTATTTAATAAAATCATGAGTACACTGTCAATTCCAACCTTAGATCCTTACCATAAGAAAACTATGGAAAACTGACAAAGCTAGTTTGTAACCTATCATTCCATTAGAATGGAAATTCCATGAATGCAGGTTTGTTTTGATCACCACTGTAGCCCAGATCTTACAAATGAAGAGATGCTCAATAAATACTGAAAAATGAATTTGTTTCATTGGTTTTCATTTCAACAATGGATAATGACTGTTTAGAAAGTACAGTAGAAGGAAAAGCAAAGCATCTTGGGAACATAGGAAGCAAGGAAGAGTTCATTTTAATGGGATGGATCTAAAAGGGCAGGGAAGGTATGAAGGGGAGGCTAAGATAAACCTTAATACATAAACAACATAGGTGGCGAAGAGCAGAGAAGGGTAGAAGAAGAGCACTTAAGGAGGGACCAGAATAAAGATAAGCTCAGAAGGAAGACAAAATGCAAAATTCAGGGACTAGTCAATTGTCTGGAGTGGCTAGAACACAGGATGTGTGGAAGATACAGGTGGAAGTTTAGAGTCAGAATGAAGCAGAAATGTTTTTTCTTTTCTTTCTTCTTTCTTTCTTTCTTTCTTTCTTTCTTTCTTTCTTTCTTTCAAATGAATGCTTTTCTAAGGAATGCAGACTTTAGCTTGTGTGCCACGGACTAAGGAATGGATGAAAAAAAAAAAGTTTTTCAAGTTAGGGAGCTATTCTAGTAGACTAGTATGGAAATGAAGGCCTGTTGAAACTCAAAAATATCATTTCAAGTGAACAGAAACCAAAGACCGTATATTGTATGATTCTACTTATATGCAATGTCTAGAAAAGACAAACCTATAAGATAGAAAGTAGGTTGTCGGTTACCTGGGAGGAGGGTAGAAGGGGGAGGCACTGCAGATGGGCCGCAGAGAGCTTTTTGGGGTGATAGAAATGTTCTAAAATTTCACTGTGGTGATGGTTACCCAATCTTTAATTTACTTAAAAGCCAAACTCTACTTTAAGAAGGAAGGAATAAAGAAAGAGAATGAATTAAAGGAGGAAGACAAAATGAAGGGCAGACTTGGGAATTGGAATGGAAGGGGTAATAAGAATGTTAGACAAAATTGACAAGATTTCTTGAGAAGATAGGCTACACAGTTGAAATAGAGGAAAGTTAAATGACACAAGGTTATGACAGGGATAATGGTGGTGGTTGGTATTAAATGGAGAGGGAATACAGGAGGTTCAGACAGAATTCAGGCAGTTAGTGGAGAGGAGTGGTCAAAGTTAGGCCAGTAGAACAGGGAGATGCCTGCTAGACATTTATATAGCAATGTCCAATAGAAAGTTGAAACTTTCTCCTGCTGGTCAGATGGCTCTCCCCTTCCCTTTATCATGGACACTGACTGCTGAAATGTGAGTCATCTGAAACTATGAGACTGGATAAGCAAGAATGAGCAGAACAACTTCAAACACATTGAAAGCTCTTGAATGCTTTTGGAATGCTACATACCGCTGCAAGGATAAAAGGCTGATTTAGGACATATTTCAGTTTAGTCTTTAAATAAAAATACATTCTAGACTTAAAATGGAAGGTTTGATGGTAAAAAAAATGAGGTTGTTTAATGAGATCTTCTCGCTATATAGCAGGTCAGACATTAATCTATGTCGAACGGATAGAATTAAGACATAATTTGGAAAATAACTTTCACATTTAAAGTTTCAAACTTAATCCCTGTAAAGGCCAAATCAATATAAAGCAGTGGTTCTCAACCTTCCTAATGCTGCGACCCTTTAATACAGTTCCTCATGTTGTGGTGACCCCCCAACCATAACATTATTTTCGTTGCTATTTCATAACTGTAATTTTGCTACTGTTATGAATCATAATGTAAATATCTGATATGCAGGATGTATTTTCATTGTTACAAGTTGAACATAATTAAAGCATAGTGATCAATCACAAAAGCAATATGTAATTATATATGTGTTTTCCGATGGTCTTAGGCGACCCCTGTGAAAAGGTCGTTCGACCCCCAAAGGGGTCTCGACCCACAGGTTGAGAACCGCTGGTATAAAGGATTCAGAAGTTCTGGTGTCTCCTAAGCAATCGCGGCGTGAAGAGAAGGGTGGGGCAGAGTTGAGACAACCAACTTGCCCTGGGCTGATGTCACCCTGCTGAGAAGTCAGCCCACCGCGGTCCGAGCAGGCGTCAGCAAACCGGGCCACCCAATCTAGTTGCTGCAGCGGCCCCGGGGCCTGCCTCATCCAGGGGGCAGAAATAAGAGCTTCTTACCTTGACTGCATACAACTTGCCGCCTTTCTGTCCCAGATACACCTTCCCAAAGGCGCCCCGGCTAATGGGCTTCACTATGGTGAACTCCTCGATGGAGGGAGGTCTTGGCACCGAGATCCTATCCACGCATTTCCCTGTGGCTGCGCCTCTCCCGCTCTCCTTCTCGCTCCCCGCGGTGGACTCCATTGCGGGCCAGCCCAGACTGAAGCCTGCAGCCGCGCCAGAGCCCCGGTCCCAGCCGCCGCTCCCGCCAACTGGGTTCAAAGTAAGGCCCCGCCCACGCCGCCGCAGCCGTGACGTCACGACGACGCCGCGCTCGCCTAGTCCAGCCCCGCGCAGCCCCATCTCAGTCATTTCCCCTTTGTAGACGCCGCAGGATCCAATGGGCGTGAGGGCGGGGACGCTGGGAATTTCTCCAACCAACCACACGCGACTCCAGGGCAGTGGCCACTGCCCAATTTATTTGTAATAAGAGGGGGTGGGGAGGCGGTGCTGCAAACACGAGAAGGGACAGCGGGTCCCTGAAGCGGAACCGCGGGGTTTGAAGAGTTAACTCTCGACCTTCAGAGGAGGCTGTTGGGATCCCGACTTCCTGCATTTAAAAAAAAAACTCCTTCGCGACCTTCCCCCGCTCCCCCTGCTCCCCCCTGAAATGTAAACCGGTTGGGTTTGTTCTGGAAAATGGTAGCTAGTGAAATCGTAGACGTCGAGAAACTGGAAGAGCAGGAATCGGGTGGTATAATCTGACATTTTAACCGGATGTAACGTGCCTGATTGAAACAGATTAGGATCATGAGTCAGAATTTTCTACTTGTTGTGAAGACATAAAAAAAACTTGTAACAAAAGACCTTACAGCTCATTCTGTTCCAGTCGGGACACAATGCATTGCATAAGGAAGCTGCAGAAAGGTTTAACGGGATGCATGCCGGTCCCTCAGAAACAGGAAAATACAGCCAAGGAAGCTTTCGCGGTTAGCCAATGTACTATTCCGCATGATCATCAACTGCTTTCGGGGGCCAGCAGCACCCGCAGAGACGCCACTGGGAGGCCGAGGGCTGCCCTGCCCCGGAAGTACTGTTGCGTTAGAGCTTTGCTTCCGGGGCAGAAGATCGGTGCCGCAGCTGTAGGGAGGGGAGGCCATTTTCCGTTCTTTGGGAGAGTGTGGGTAAGGGGAGGGAGAAAAAGGGCTGCGCCCCTTCCTTGCGTGGACAGACGGGCAGTTTCAGCCGGCGGCTGAGGTCGCTGAGGGCCCGAAGGCGATGTTTTCCCTGTCGAGCACGGTGCAGCCCCAGGTGAGTCCCGGCATCCAGCCCGTCCCCCAGTCCCCCTCCGCCCGCGTCTGTTTGCCATTTGCTTTTCTTGGAAGCAGTTTCTCCTACCTAAGGGATCGTTGGAGGGAATCGATTAGACCAACATGAGTTCTGGGGGCGAGAATGGATCCGGGGCACCGCTCAGAGTCAAGGGCTGACGGTGAAGCAGGGCCGTGACATAAGCGTGATGGGGATCTTGGCTTGTCGAGTTGACTGCGTGGAATTTTTGTTGGGGAATCCATCAGGCATTGTTTAGTGCCGGACATTCGGGCGTAGAGGTTGGGTGGGGGGACCTCCTTGCCATCGACGCCATAGGGGAGGACAGGAGTCCTCTTTGCCATCGATGTGAAGGAAGCAAGTAAATAGTTGCTTCCCATTTTCCTGCCTCCGATCCCCTATTCTCTTTCCCCTTAAATGGAATTGAACCGAAACGTGCTGTAATAATTTGGATGATCTGCCACGAAAGCTCTTTCTTTTTTATTGGACCAGAAATGTCAGATATTTTCAAGTTATTGACTGCCTGCAGTTAACGTTTTGATTCCGCTTCCTCCCCATCTTTTCTTAAAGCAAAAGATGGGGCAGAGAAAAATGATTCCAAGAGTTTTCAATTATCTCCTCGTAAGCACTAAACACTTGTCGCAAAGTTTTGTTCTGGGTTCATTTAAAAATCTCTTTTGATGGTAACATTTTCCCCTTGACTTGTTGGCCATGTATCTTCACATGTTTTTCACATGGTCTTTTCTCTGTGTCATATTGAAGGTTTTTTTTTTTTTCCTTCAGAGTTCTTAAAATTTTGCAAATGGGTTTTGAAAATATTCAGATGTTAAAGTATTTTTTTGAATGCTCTTTAGTTTCTTGGTTTAAACATAATTATGCCCTGTGTTGTGTCATCCAGTGAACTGAAAGGTTATGGTTTGGTTCCTGGTCAGGGCACATACCCGAGTTGCTGGTCGATCCCGCTTGGAGTGTGTACCACTATAATCACGTTTCTCTCTCACAGGGTGTTTCTCTCTCTCTCTCTCTCTCTCTCTCTCTCTCTCTCTCTCCCTTCTTCTCTCTCAGAAATCAATAAAAAATATTTAAAAAGACAGAAAAACATATAATTGTGTAGCTCAAACACCCTTGGGTTTTTTTGTTGTTTGTTTTGCTGGATAATAGAAAATAGAAGTGATTATTTACTGGGTGTCAATAATGTGCCAGGTAAAGAAAGCAAATGTGGAATCTTGATGCTGATGTGAAGTAGATGAGTAGAAGTCAGTCAAGTGAAGAATGAATGAAGGGAGCCCTGGCTGGTGCGGCTCAGTTGGTTGAGCATGCACCCAGAGGTGGTCTCAGGTTGGATTCCTGGTCAGGACACATGCCTGGGTTTCCCGCTTCATCTCCACTAGGGGGAGTACAGGAGGCAGCTGATAGGTGTTTCCCTCTGTCTAGCCCTCTCCCTTCCTCTCACTCTAAAATCAATAAAAACATATATGTATATATATGTTAAAAAAAAAGAATGAATGGTATCTCAGAAGGATGGAAGGACATCTGGAGGTCCCAGTATGGGAAAGAGCTTAGCAGCCGGAAGAAACAAAAATAAGAACACTGTGTCTGCTAGAGTGTGGTGATTAAGAGGCCCAATGACAGAAATGAGGTTGGGGAGAAGTCTTGGAACAGACCATATAGGGAGTTACAATAAGGGACTTTAGATTTCATTTGTGTTGAAAACCATTGAATGCTTTTAAGCAGGGAGTAACATGATCAGATTTACATTTTTTGTAGAACACTCTGGCATATTGTTCTTTGGCTGAGCCCTCACCTGCCCGCCCCCCCCCCCCCCCCATCCCCCAGCTGGCAGATGGGTACCATATTTGAGTCTCCATCAGTCTGGATAACACTATTTACCTAGCCCCACCCAACTTTCAGGCCCACCCACAACCCTTTGGTGCTTGGGCTGGCACTCTAACCATGGGAGTCACATCAGCCAGGGCTATTCCCCTAGTTTTAAAAGAACTTTCTGTTTCACTCTGGCTCTAAAAATAATACAGCTCATTGCCAAAAATGCTGAAAAGAAAAATATAAACAATGAAATCAAGATGACCTGTAAAATCTCCTATTCAAAGAGATCACTTTTTAAAATAAATTCTTCTATATTTTTTAAATCTCTACACAAGTATGTGTTGGCATAGTTAAGAACAGATTTACAGATAGTTTTACAGCCTGTTTCAATTAACATAATACATTTATTTTTGTATCAATAACTGAAATGAAAAGTCTTTACTTGGAACCTGTATTCAGACGGTCTGGGTTAGAATTCTTGCTCCTGTACTTACTAGCTGTGTGACTTTGAACATGCCACTGAACCTATCTAAATTCTTGCTGTTTTAATTAAATAGGAAGTGTAATAGTAACAAATTTATGGCTGTTAAATGAAGATTAAGTGATAATATAAGTAAAGCACATAGTACAAAACCTGGCATAGGCAGAACCTATTTAATTTATTTACTCAACAAATATTTATCTATCATCTACTTTGTGCGTTGTTGCTGCACTGAGCTGTGGTATTGAATAACATAAAAATAAAATATGTAAGTTATGAATAAAATAAAGAAAAAAATGTAATTTATGAAACATTTTATATTATATAAATAAAATAGAGAAAAATAAGGCAATATAAGGAAAAAAAATCCCTTGCCACATGGAATTTATATTTTAGTGTTGTATAATAAAGAATAAAGATTTCGTTTGTGTTCCCCATTTTTAGCAGAGTTTCTAAATCCCTTGGAATTCCTTTCTTTTATTCTTGAATTTTTACTTATTGATTTTAGAGAGAGAGAGATACATCGATTTTGTCATACCACTTATTTATGCATTCACTTGTTGATTCTTTTATGTGCCCTGTATGACCTGGGATTGAATCCGCAATCTTGGTGTATCTGGATGATGGTTAACCAACTGAGCTACCTAGCCAGGGCAAAAAAATCTTTTGAATTTTGTGAGCCATAGGAGTGTAATTATTTATAAGAAGTCCTTTTGGATCACTCCTGGATTTATGCTAATAAAGTGATATATGCTAATAAAGTGAATAAGGTGATTTCTGTCAATAAAGTGACTTCAGATTTTCTGAAGCCTCTTTAACCAATAAATAGCTTATGTACTAGATAGCATCAGGGCTGGGCTGGTCATCAGTAAGACCTAGTGATTAGAAAGTGGGAGCTCAAAACCATAGCCTCCTAGCCTCTGGTTTGGCCTGGAGTTTGAGCTCTGAATACTTTACAGTGACATTCAATGCAGAGATTCACAGTGCAGGAGAGTGGTACACTCAGGATCCGTAGATGAACTTTTGAGTTAAGAACTCAAGAGTGTATAAGGGCAGGCTATGTTACTAACTGACAAGAGGGAATAAATAATGTGCAGACCTTGAAGTGAGAACCTGCCAGGTGTGTTTCGGGAATAGCAAGGAGCCCAGTGGGGCTGGAGCAGAGAGAATGAAGGGGGGTGGGGGGAGCATAGTAGTGAATAAATTCAGAGAGGTAGTAAAGACCCAAGGAGGGCTGTGTGTATCATAGTATTTATGACTTTGGCTTTTATTTTAGTGAAAAGAGAAGCCATTGGAGGGTTTTGAACAGGAGTGATGGATCTGACTTTAGTTTTGCTAGAGCACACACAGGGAGAGCAGCAGTTAGGAGGTTATTATAAAAATCTACATATACGTGATGGTGACTTAGAACAGGAAGGTGTAGGGGAGAAGTTGAGAAGTATCAAATTTTGGATATATGCTTTGAAATATTTCATTTTGTGGTGGTACATTGCTAAATATCAACTTACATCATTTTCTAGGTTACAGTTCCTTTGAGTCATCTCATCAATGCCTTCCATTCTCCAAAAAGCACATCATCTTCTGTCAGTGCATCAGTTTCTCAAAACCAGCATCGAGATGTGATTCCTGAGCATGAGGCTCCCAGCAATGAGGTAATGGTTTTTACCTTGGTTGTGTGAGAAAGCATTTTGATTTAGTACATTGTAAACATGTTTGAAGCATTTTTCTATGTTTAGACATTTGTAAAGTGATTTTTGTCATCAGCTTAATCTTTAATCTCCTTTGTGATTAAAGATGTCTAATCATGGCTTTATTGTACAGTTAGAAAAGTTACTTTATTTCATTTTTATAAAATTTTATATGGAAATAAACTTGGTATTCACTTCTAGGTTACTACTTGTGTGATACTATGCAGATTTTCTGTTGTGTTGTTCCAGTAGTAGCAGTGCACCCATAGTTAACCGACCATATTTACCTGCCAAGTCTCACGGAGGATAGAATAGTGTAATTGAACAACTAAAATGTAGGTACCTGCAAGTGAAATGTATAAGCTATGAAACTGTACTTTCAGTATTTTAGAGAATTATAAAATCAGTGTTGCCTAGGATATAGGGAATTCCTACCCTGGGAACCCTTGGGTTTATGAAGCTCATTAATAAGAGAGGTGCTTATTATAGTTCAGAATACATTTTTTAAATAGAAAACATTATAATCTTTAGGTAAGTTTTAAAAGCCACTTTAACCAATAAATAGATTATGTACTTAGTTCTGATATCAGGGCCTATGGCAAAGGACAGTTGAGGAAGAGTTGAAGGAAGTTGTTAGGTCAGTCTTAAGATAAAATTTTAATTATTTGAAACTTTGTTTGCATCATCTTTATGTTTTCCTTTTATACTGTTTGCCCAATTCCTGTTGCCTCTTTCTGTAGGCATTCCATTGTTTTTCTACATCCTGACACCCTTCTTCCAAATTATAGGTCAAGAGAGCTTTCCTAAGGAAAATACTATGTGTTTTAGATATGCTACATGCAGTAAAATTATATTCATTTTAGAAATTTTGGAAAATATGTATATGGGAGAAATGAAATTCACCTATGAACCTATTATTCCTCAGATATAATGCATACATTTTGTGTTTATATTTCATGCCTCTTTTTTTTTTTTTTTGGTGCCCTTGACCAGAATCGAACCTGGGACCCTTGAGTCCATAGGCCTATGCTCTATCCACTTAGCCAAACCAGCTCTTTTTTTTCCCTTTTATCTGTATATATATAAAAGCCTAAGAAACCAAATGACCGGTCAACCGGTTGTTATGACACCCACTGACCACCAGGGGACAGATGCTCAATGCATAGGATCGGGCTCCCTCCTGTCTGGATCAGGCCTGCAGGGATTGGGCTCCTTCCTGTCCGGATTGGATCGAAACCAGCTATCCGACATCCCCCAAGAGGTCCCGGATTCCAAGAGGGTACAGGCCAGGCCGAGGGACCCTACTGGTGCACGAATCTGTGCACCAGGCCTCTAGCACTTTTATATTTTACTAGTGGCTCGGTGCACGGATTCGTTGCACATTGAAAGGAAATTGATTAGAAGGTGGCTGACAGGGCGGGACTGGCGAGGCGGGCTGGACATGCCCTGGCATCAACCTCCCGCAGTCCCTTCCTGGCTGGCTCGAAGGGTGCCCCAGAATGTGAGAGTTGCTATAGCTGGGCATCTCCTGCATTGAATGTCTGCCCTCTGGTGGTCATTGCACTTCATACTTACCGGCCAAGTTGGCGGGTCGCTTAGCCTTTTATAAATATAGATAATTGAATAACATTGCAGTGCTGATTTGGATTCTGCTTTCTTCATTTAATAGTCCGGATTTTGCTTTCTTCATTTAACACCTTTCATACCGCTCACGAGCTTTCTTGTGTTTCGCGCGTCATCTGTTAAGGACCGCTCACGAGTTTTCTCGTTTTTTTCACACGCCATCTGTTATGGACCTTAGCTGTCAACACACTGTCTTGTCCACATCGAATGAAGCGTTCTCATTGGTGGAAAGTGCAGGTCAATCTACGAAAAACTATATAATTGCACGAACCCATAAAGCATTGCAGTTACATTGTATTTTGGTCATTCGAATAGTCTTCATTTTCAAGTTCCTGGTGCTTTTAGAAAATGTTTTATGCAGTACCATACGTTAAAAAAGTACTAGGAACTTTAATTGTTTAATTGTTTTTGTAAATAAAAATGTTATAATTATTGAAAAACAACACCTAAAGTGCATTATGATCTGTAGTTATTATGATTTAAATAACGTGCAGTTTGCCCAAAAACGTGCGGTCCCTGGTGTATGTCTTAGAGATTTCTGTGTGGTACGAAAGGTGTTAATAGTCCTATGAACTTGTTATGTCATACATTTTCCAATTTTTTAATGTCTTCAAAGTCTTCATCGTATGATGTCCTGTTGTTGGATATTGTTTCTAAATTTTTGTTGCTATAAACAACACCATTTTACTATCCAGGTTGCTAAATCTTTGACTCATTAAGTGAAATTGCTAGGTCAGTAAGGAAGTACATTTTGGGGGGCTTTCATCCAGAAATCCTCTCAATCCTTATGCTCTCTACTGGTTTCTTCAAATGTCTTTTGTCTATGATTTATTTTTCCATCCTTCTAAGGGCTTAAATTAGGCTCATATAATTTTTTCTCTTGTTCCATCAGCCAGTTTATCATCTTTATTTTCTGTTTTCTTCCTGTAAAACAAAACTAATCATATTACCTACAGAATTAAATTCAAACAAAGCTTTTCACAGTTTGGCCATAGCCCACCTTTCTGTTCTATAGTCCTTTCATCACTAAACTTTTTACTACATTTCAGACATCCCAAGCCCTTTGATGACTATTTGTTTGCCCCCTTCTCCAAGTTTTCCTTCCCCATCGTTTTTCAAATTAGGTGTTACCTCAGTGAAGCCTCCTCTGACTTTAGAAAATTAGTTGCTCTGTGTTCTGTGTTCTCTCACCACTTTTTCTTAAAAATAGATTTTATTGATTTTTTATAGAGAAGAAGGGAGAGGGATAGAGAGTTAGAAACATCGATGAGAGAGAAACATCAATCAGCTGCCTCCCGCACACCCGCTACTGGGGATGTGCCCGCAACCAAGGCACATGCCATTGACCAGAATCGAACCCGGGACCCTTCAGTCGCAGGCTGACACTCTATCCACTGAGCCAAACCAGTTAGGGCTCTCTCACCATTTTTAGAAGTCATCTCTTTAGTGGCAGTTAACATGTTGCATGAAAATTGCCATGTTTATATGTACTCTGTTTCTCTTATGTTTCTAAGACCTGATGACACTCTGAGTAAGGGGAATAATTTTCTGTCTTCATTAAGAATCTTTGTTTGCCTTTTGAAGTCTATGCATTATAAATAGACTTTTGGGCTTCCCATTTTACAAGATAACTTTTGAAAAGTAGCTCTTGCTCTAGCTAGTTTGGCTCAGTGGATAGAGTGTTGGCCTGTGGACTGAAGGGTCCTGGGTTCAATTCCCGTCAAGGGCACATGCCCGGATTTTGGGCTCAGTCCCCAGTAGGGGGCATGCAGGAGGCAGCCAGTCAATGATTCTCTCTCATCATTGATGTTTCTCTCTCTCTTTCCCTCTCTCTTCCTCTCTGAAATCAATAAAAATATGTTTGAAAAAAAGCTGTTGAATACTGTAGTCTTTTGTTTCCGTTATGATAATGTACTTTATATTGTACTAGAGTCCCGGTGCACAAAATTTGTGCATGGGGGTAGGGGGGTTCTCTCAGCCCAGCCTGCACCCTCTCTAATCCGGGACCCCTGCCTGCCTGATCACCCCTAACTGCTCTCCCCTGCTGGCCTGATCCCCATAACTGCTCTCCCCTCCTGGCTGGATTCTCCTAACTGCTCTCCCCTGACGGCCTGATCCCACTAACTGCTCTCCCCTACCACCTCTGCCTCGGCCCCTGCCACTGTGGCTTTGTTCAGAAAGAGATAGTTTTTAACAGTTTAAAAGACACTTTGAAATATTTTTGCTCGCACCTTCTCTCCAGCAGGCTGTCCCCAGCGGCAGAGGTGCCTGGAGGTCAGCAGCCTTGGGCTGTGAGGCTGGGTCTGCACTAGCAGGGAGGGACTGTATACGAGCCTCCAGGCAGCAGCTGGGGTGGCAGCTGAGATCCTCAGGTGCTGCTGATTTCTCCATGTTGTGAAAGGGATTGGATGTTGTAACTGGCTCTTCAGAAAGCCCCGCTTTGCTGAAACTTTAGGGAGGTCTTTTTGACCTCTGTCTCCTTTCATAGCCACTTCTGAAGGTACCTGACACAAGTGGTGAGACAGGTCCTATAGAAGGGATTGTTGAAAACATATAACCTCTGTGAAGAAAGTGTCCCTTTTTCCCTTTTGCAAAAGAGACATTCTCAAAATGCCAAGACCCTTAATTAACCCTCAAGAATATTTTTTCCATTGATTAATTTTTTTTAGAGAGAGTGGAAAAGGGAAGGAGTGGGAGTGAGAGAGAAAAACATTGATGTGAAAGAGAGACATCAGTTAGTTTCTTTCCACACTCACTGATAGACCTGGGAAGGGATTGAACCTGCAACCCAGGTATATGCCCTCGACTGGGAATTTAGATCCTCCAGTGTGCAGGCTGACACTCTAACCACTGAACTACACAGGCCGGGGCTGAAGAACATTTTGTCTCCTGACATGTTAGTCATCCCCTTGGAGACTTTTGCCACACTATTCACATTGGCAGAGGGCCAGCATGACGTCTTTGGAGACATTTTCTTACTTCAAGGAACCTGTGACCTTTTTACCTGGAAACCCAGAGGAATTATACCAGAATGAGTTCCCTGGGCATAATGAGTCCTTCTGGGCCAGCAGAACCAGAAATGCCCTCCCCTGTGCTCTAAAATGCCATCTCCCTCTTAACCATGGTGGGTCACAAGCACTCATGTTGTCCTTATTGTCACTAGTGACATTTGATTCCAAACAGGAGACCTTTGGGCCAACAAAGCTGCCCAGGCTTAACTGTGAGACTGTCATGGAGGAAAAGGCTCAGGAGAAAAGCAGTCTGTTGGAGAATGGGACAGTCCACCAGGGAGATGTCTCATGTGGTTCCAGTGGGTCCGCGTGGCAGTGCAGTTAGGGTAGGGAGAGCTACTCCTCTAACCTTTCAGAACAGTGCCCGTGCCAAGGACATGTTTGACCATTCCACCCTTGTGCAAGCTTGGCAAGGAAAAGACTGAACCAGAGGAGTCCCCCTCTGATCTGGCAAGTTTCTGCCTCTCCGTGAAGCTTGATCTTGGGCCCTTATTTCTGGATGAGGTGCTGAATGTTAGGGATAAAAATAAGTAATGAATTTTCAGCAATTCCTTTGAGGTAAAAGTCCCCCCCACACATACACCAAAACAAAAACAAAAACAAAAAAAATCCACAACAAAAACCAACAACCGCAAAACATATACTACAAAACAATGAACCACAGTAAAAGAGGTGAAAGAGAAGAGCTTCACCGGCTCTATTTGTGGTGGTTTTCTAAAATAATGTTCTTAGAAAGTTTTGTGTGTGTTTTTTAAATCTCTTATGCCCTCTTTGTAGAAACAGTTTTAAAAATCAAACCAAACAAAAACCCAGAAAAAAACTTGTCCTAGGAAAAAGAGGGAGTCAGAAGCCATTTTCAGCAGGCATGGATGATGTTCAGCTCACGCTTTGTTTGTAGACTTAAGAAATCTGGCTGGGCCAAGATGGGCACTGCCTATGAAGGGCTGCACAAGTCACACTGAGAAATTTTATACTCCTCATTTTCTGAGCAAGAGGAAATAAACATTTAACACCTAAGCCTTTTTCTAGATTCTTTTCTATGTAATATTCTTCAGATTCACCATATCAGATTCTTGGTTGTTAAGACTTTTTTCTAAGGCATTTTTAAAGTTAAAATATATTTCATGTTCCTTTGACTATTTTTACAGTCTGCATTTTATAGATACTACATCAAATGCTATTTGACTTGTTTTTATTGTAGTCCATTGTAAGCTGTATATGTGTATATTTAGAAAAGTGTATTCCTATTTGGCTTTGTTTTATTTTTTCTTCATCTGTTAAACTTTTCACAGCAACCAACAATGGATTGTAAAGTATAAAGACACATGTTACTAATAATGCTTCTGCAGAGGCTATGGGCTGTACCATGTAAAATGTACTTTGGAAATATAAGTATTTTAGCATAGTACATACTTGCATTACATACCACATAATAAAGAGTAAATGTGAAAATGAAAAAAAATTGCGTCATGATGCCTTTATCTTACTATGTGTGGGATAAGATAGGTAGATGAACACAGCATGATCTCTTCCTTTGACCTGTACTATCTCATGAAATAGGCAGGACATATTTCATAGTCATTTTATTAACAAGGAAATGGATTCTAAGAATATGAATGACTTCTTACAAAGCTAATAACTGATAAACTCCTGGACATCAATCTAAAGCTATATTATAAAAAGTTGTCATTTGTTCTGTTTCTTTTTTCTCTCTTACTTGATGTTCTAACTGTCTGGGGCTTATAATTGTTGTCTTTAGTGTCTCAGTCATCTCACATGGGCAAAAAAAATAAGTCCTATTTATTTGTTACGTTAGAACTATTTTAGATAGGTATATTGCATAGTTTTCACATATTTTTTACTTTGTTTAGTTTTCCTCATTAGAAGATAGATATGGTTAACTACAGAACCTGTCAGTTCAAAGAAGGATCTTAGCAATAAGGCCAGAGGAGTGAGATATCCTGTGGTAGCAGAGCATACACTTTATTTATCAAACTAGAGGTCCGGTGCACTGATTCATACATTGGTGGGGCCCCTCAGCCTGGCCTGTGCCCTCTTGCAATCCAGGACCCCTCGGGGGATGTGGGATAGCCAGTTTTGGCCCAGTCCCCACAGGCCCAATCCAGACAAGAGGGTGCCCGATCTTGTGTGTTGAGCATCTGTCCCCTGGTGGTCAGTGCGCATCATAGCGACTGGTTGTTTGGTCGACTGGTTGCTTAGGCTTTTATATATATAGAATATAGATGGGCTTTTGTTTATGGGCATTAGAGATTGGAGGGTGCTTTAAAGCTCTGAAGACTAGTGATGATACCATTGAGAAGATAATTTTTTTCAACTTCTGTCAAAACTCACATGCCTGACCTTAAGAAAACAAGAACTATGAAAATATTTTCACCAATTTATATATTAGAAAGAAAAAGGAAACCAGTATATTTGTTAGATTTTTAAAAACCCATATTGCTTCAACTGATGAGTACTCTATAAATTAAATATCTTGATAGCATTAATGTTTACTTCGTTGACTTAATGTTTTACAGCCTGTGCTTAACTTAAGGGACCTTGGATTATCTGAATTAAAAATTGGACAGATTGATCAATTGGTAGACAGTCTACTTCCTGGAATTTGTAAAGGCAAAAACATTTCTTCCCATTGGCATACATCTCATGTCTCTGCACAGTCCTTCTTTGAAAATAAATATGGTAAGTTAATATATTTTTTGTTTTAATTAATTTTAATACTATTAATAATTATAGTAGTGATTATCACAATCACTGTGTACCAGATTCTTTGCTACTTGTTTAATTCCTTTCTTCCTTCCTCCCTTCTTTCCTTTCTTTTTCTTTTCCTTCTCAACTTTTTATATTGGAATTATTTTATTTTGTTATTTTTTAATATATTTTTATTGATTTCAGAGAGGAAAGGAGAGTTTGAGAGAGATAGAAACATCAGTGATGAGAGAGAATTATTGATCGACTGCCACCTGCATGCCCCGCACTGGAGATCAAGCTTTAAACCTGAGCATGTGCCCTGACCAGGAATCGAACCTCAATGCTCAATCCAGCTGGGCTATTTTATATTATTTTTAAAAGATATTTTTATTGATTTTAGAGAGAGTGAGAGAGAAACATTGATGTGAGAGTGAAACATTGATTGGCTACCTCCTGCACGCCCTGGCCGCCCCCCCCTCCCCCCCCTTCCATCAGGGATCAAGCCCACAACCCGGGCTTGTGCCCTGACCAGGAATCAAATCAGTGACTTTTTGGTATACAGGATGACATCCAATCAACTGAGCCACACTGGCTAGGGCTATATTGGAATAATTTTAGATTTACAGAGAAGTTGTAAAGGTAGTACAAAGTTCTATACTACAGACTTCTATTATTATAGACTTAATTAGATTTTTACCAAATAAAAGTTTAATTTTTCAAATCACTAGTTTTTCCACTAGGATTCATTTTCTGTTCCAGGATCTAATACATTATACTACATATATTGCATTCCATGTAACATACTACTAATCTCAGAATATATTGAAGAAACTGTCACAGTCCCTTTTTTTTATAGACTGTCTACATATTTTCTTGAGTCTTGTAACAATAAGTGGGTATTTTGTTGGAAGAGATGTCAGCTTTATGAATTCTTTTTGGATGATGCCTAAACAAGGAATGTTAGAAGCTTGTCAAAATACTTGTTCTATATTGATAAAAGAACAGATTTAAAAAATATATATATTTTTTTATTAATTCCAGAGAGAGAGTAAGGGAGAGGGAGAGAGAGATAAAAACATCAATGGTGAGAGAGAATCATTGATTGGTTGCCTCCTGCATGCCTCCCTACTGGGGATGGAGCCTGGACATACGCCCTGACTTGGAATCACACCATGACCTCCTGGTTCATAGGTCCACACTCAATCAATGAGCTACACCAGCCGGGCAAGAACAGATTTTTAAAATCAGTACAAGCACCCCGACTGGAGCTCGAAACCTCATCCTAGGTATGTGCCCTGACTGGGAATTGAATCTGCAACCTCTGTGTTAATGACAGTGTTATCAATAGCTAAGACCTAGAAACAGCCCAAATGCCCATCAGTAGATGAGTGGATAAGAGTGCTGTGGGGCATTTTCACAATGAAATACCACTTGGCTATAAAAAAGAAAGAACTCTTACTCTTCGCAGTAGCATGGATGGACTGGAGATTTTGATTGATTGATTGATTGATTGATTGATTTAGAATCACAGACTTTATTTTTTTCTTTAAAAAAACTTTTTTTAATTGATTAAGGTATTACATATGTGTCCCCCATTGCCCTCCCCGACCCCCCCTCTCCCCCCCAGCCTCCCACTCATGCCCTCACCCCCTTGGTGTCTGTGTCCATTGGTTATGCTTACTATATGCATGAATACAAGCCCTTTGGTTGATCTCTTCCCCTTACCCCCGCCTGCCCTTACCTTCCCTCTGAGGTTTGACGGTCTGATCGATGCTTCTCTGTCTGTGGATCTGTTTTTTTTTTTAAAATATATTTTTTATTGATTTTTTTTTACGGAGAGGAAGGGAGAGGGATAGAGAGTTAGAAACATTGATGAGAGAGAAGCATCGATCAGCTGCCTCCTGCTGGGAATGTGCCCGCAACCAAGGTACATGCCCTTGACCGTAATCAAAACTGGGACCCTTCAGTCCGCACAGGCCAACGCTCTATTCACTGAGCCAAACCAGTTAGGGCTGGATTTGTTTTTGTTCATCAGTTTTATGTTGTTCATTATATTCTACAAATGAGTGAGATCATGTGATATTTATCTTTCTCTGACTGGCTTATTTTGCTTAGCATAATGCTCGGACCTGAAGATTTTTATGCTAAGCGAAATAAGCCAGTCAGAGAAAGACAAATAGCACATGATGTCACTTGTATTTGGAATATAATGAACAAAATAAACTGACAAACAAAATAGGACCAGAGGCATGGATACATGGAATAGATGGACAGATCTTAGAGGGAGGGGGTTGGGGAGACTGGAAGAGATTAACCAAAGAACATATATGCATTGCCCATGGACACAAATACTAATGTGGTGAAAGCCTGAGGTGGGTCAGGGGTTGGGTGGAAGAGGCAAAATTGGGGGAAATTTGGGACATCTGTAATAATGTCAATAATAAAAATATTAGCCCTAGCTCGTGTTTCTCAGTGGTTAGAGGGTCTCGGACCTGGTTGCAGGTTTGATCCACAGCTTTGGTTGTGGTGTGTGGGTGGCAACCAATCGATGTGTCTCTCACATCAGTGTTTCTCTCTCTGTGTGTCTCCCTCCTTCCACCTCCCTCCCTCTCTTCCACTCTCTAAAAATAAATGGAAAAAATATTCTTGAGTGAGGATTAACAACAACAACAGAAAAAGAGTGAGGAGTAGATTAGGATGAAATACAATTCTGCTTCTGATTGATTAGTATTTATTTAATTTCTTTAATTGCTGTTTTTTTCATATGAGTGTGAGGAATAACTATTTCACTTTATTTATTTTTGGGGGGATTCTTTTTTTTTGGTTTGTTTGTTTAAAGCAGTGGTCGCCAACCTTTTGGACTTCACGACCACCAGTGGTCGGCGGACCACTGGTTTAAAGTATTAAGTATGTCTCCTTTTTCCCCCTGACTGATCTCCCCACCACTCCATGTCCCCAGGACAAGCCCCCACTGTCCGTGTGTATTGGTTATACTAATATGCATGCATACAAGTCCTTTGGTTGATCTCTTACCCGCCCCTGCCTTCTCTCTGAGGTTGGACTGTCTGTTCAGTGTTTCTTAGTCTCTGGATCTATTTTTGGTCATTAGTTTATATTGTTCATTATATCCCACATATGAGTGAGATCATGTGATATTTATCTTTCTCCAACTGGCTTATTTCTCATGGCATAATGCTCTCCAGGTCTATCCATGCTGTTGCAAGTGGTAAAAGTTCCTTTTTTTAAAAAAATATATTTTATTGATTTTTCACAGAGAGGAAGGGAGAGAGATAGAGAGTCAGAAACATTGATGAGAGAGAAACATTGATCAGCTGCCTCTTGCACATCCCCCACCAGGGATGTGCCCGCAACCCAGGTACATGCCCTTGACCGGAATCGAACCCGGGACCTCTCAGTCCGCAGGCTGACGCTCTATCCACTGAGCCAAACCGGTTTCGGCAAAAGTTCCTTTTTTATAGCAGCGTAGTATTCCATTGTGTAGATGTACCACAGTTTTTTAATCCACTCATTTGCTGCTGGGCACTTAGGCTGTTTCCAAATCTTAGCTATTAGAAGTTGTGCTTCTATGAACATAGGGGTTCATATATCCTTTCCGATTGGTGTTTCTGGCTTTTTGGGATATATTCCCAGAAGTGGGATTACTGGATCGAATGCCAGTTCCATTTTTAATTTTTTGAGAAAACTCCATACTGTTCTCCACAGTGGCTGCACCAGTCTGCATTCCCACCAGCAATGCACGAGGGTTCCCTTTTCTCCACATCCTCTCCAGCACTTGTCATTTGTTGATTTGTTGATGATAGCCATTCTGATAGGTGTGAGATGGTACCTCATTGTTGTTTTGATTTGCATTTCTCAGATGATTAGTGGCTTTGAGCATGTTTTCATGTTTCTCGGCCTTCTGTATGTCCTCTTTTGAGTGAAAAGTGTCTGTTTAGGTCCTTTGCCCATTTTTTGATTGGATTGTTTATTTTTTGTTAATTTGTATGAGTTCCCTGTAAACTTTGGAGATTAAACCCTTATTTGAGATAGCATTGGCAAGTATCTTCTCCCGTACAGTGGGCTTTCTTGTTGTTTTGTTAATGGTTTCTAATTATTTCACTTTAGAGGACCAGATGAAATAATTTAAAGTCCTGTGGCCCATAGTAAGTATTCAGTAGAGTAAAATTTTTATTATTATTATTTTTGTCATATTTTTACTATTATGCCCTTCTAGTTTTCTTACTTATGTATCCTTACTGCCAGCCATTTTTTAGGCTTAGGCAGACAGAGGTATTAGGAAGGGTTTTCTGACTTTAAGGGTTCTTAGAAGAATTATTGAATCCTTACTGGGATACAAGGACAGATGAGAACCACTGTTTTTGTTGTTTCTTCATAACTTTTCTGCAGGCTCATGTAAATAAAGTAGGATGGGGCCCATTAGTTAAGAATAGGACTTAGGAAGGAACCCCAAAGTTTTCATGGCTTATAGCTATAGAAGAACCATTCTTTGTTCCAAATCTATGGAAGCCTTGAGAGAGAAAGATCGCAGTATATCTGGTTTTATCACATTGTTCATTAGAGGATTTTAAATTGTCTCTAGGAAATAATGATTCTTTATCTTTTTATGTTCTTAAGTAAAAGAAACTTTAGCTAGCCCTAGCTGGTTTGGCTTAGTGGATACAGCGTTGGCCTGCAGACTGAAAGTATCCTGGTTCAATTCCTGTCAAGGGCACATGCCCGGGTTGTGGGCTCGATACCCAGTGTGGGGCGTACAGGAGGCAGCGATCAATGATTCTCTCTCATTATTGATGTTTCTCTCCCTCTCCCTTCCTCTCTGAAATCAATAAAAATATATTTTAAAAAAAGTAACTTTAGCTACACATATATGTCTTTTACCACTTAATTTGAATTTAATTTCATTGGCTGCTATATTTGTATATCAGATAACACAATTGACAAGTGATGGATAGTAAAGTGGTGAAGAACTATATTTGGACTAGTGGCCCGGTGCACGAAATTCGTGTGTGTGTGTGTGTGGGGGGCTAGGGGTGGGAGGGTGTCCCTCAGCCCGGGCTGCACCCTCTCCAATTTGGGACCCTTTTCGCAATCTGGGACTGCTGGCTTCTAACCGCTCACCTGCCTGCCTTCCTGCTGGCCTGATCGCCCCTAACCACTCTGCCTGCTGGCCTGCTCGCCTCCAACTATCCCCCCACTGGCCTGATCACCCCCAACTGCCTCACCAGCCTGCTCACCCCAACTGCGCCCCCCCCCCCCCCCCTCGCCAACCTAATTGCGCCTAACTGCCCCTACTGCCGGCCTGATCACCCCCAACTGCCCCCTCCTGCTGGCCTGATCACCCCCAGCTGCCCTCCCTGCTGGCCTGAATGCCCCTAACTGCCCCATTGCTGGCCTGCTCACCTCCAACTGCTCCCCCCCCACCAGCCTGCTCGCCCCCAACTGCCCTCCCCTCCTGGCCTGATCACCCCTAACCACCTCTGCCTCGGCTCTGCCACAGTGGCTTTGTCTGGAAGGACGTCCAGAATGTCTACCGGAAGGTCTCCTGGTCTCATTAGCATATTACCCTTTTATTAGTATAGATTAGCAGTGCTTTTATATATATATGTATACATATATATATATGTGTGTGTGTGTGTATATATATATATATATATATATATATATAAAAGTATGTACAAATGAAAGGCAAAACATATTTTGATTTTTTCTAATACTTGGTAAAACTATGTTTTATATGAATTTTTTTTATGGTTTTGTAATTAAAACATTTACTTTTTTCATTTCCCCTCTAGGTTATATTGATGTATTTAGTACTTTACGTTCCTCTTGCTTGTACAGACAACATTCAAGAACTCTGAAGAGCATTTGTTCAGATCTTCAGTACTGGCCAGGTATGAAGCAATGACTTTATTTATTTTGGAAAAAAATAGATGTATTTAATAAATTCTGATTTGTCTTTCTTAATGATGCTAACTATTGAAAACATTCATTTGTAGCACACAGTAAAACTTATAGAGTATTTGTTATTTAGTTTGGGTATATCTATGGAAAATATAAAGTAGGAGCTAAATTTTGAATGTGATAAATGCCATAGTAAATCATAGCCTAGGGTATACTTGCTTCAAAATGACTAAGCACATTTGCTTACTTTCCCTCATTTTCAAAATACTAATGCAAGACAGAAAAAAAATAGAAAAATGAGAAGTCAGGGCAAGAAGAGGGATTTCATAAATGTGTCAGAAATTTGAGGACTTTACATACATCTATAATAATGAAAAAGCATAATATGCTAATTAGACCAGATGCCTGAACGATCTTCCAGACGAAGTTGGGGCTGAGAGGGCTGAGCCCCTTGTATGAATTTTGTGCATTGGGCCTCTAGTAGTTTATGAAGTAGATGGCATCAAATTGCTAGCAAAATCAAATATGCATTTATTCATATTTATTGGTTATCATATGATAACATTATATCAGGCAGTAGTGATGGATTTTAGGTCACAGTAATAAATAAAAATGACAGATGCTGCCGAAGCCGGTTTGGCTCAGTGGATAGAGCGTCGGCCTGCGGACTGAAAGGTCCCAGGTTCGATTCCGGTCAAGGGCATGTACCTGGGTTGCGGGCACAACCCGGTGGGGGATGTGCAGGAGGCGGCTGGTTGATGTTTCTCTCTCATCAATGTTTCTGACTCTCTATCTCTCTCCCTTCCTCTCTGTAAAAAATCAATAAAATATATTAAAAAAAAAATGACAGATGCTATCTACCTTTATGGAACTCAGTATAAGAAGTCTATACTATTTCCAGTGGAACTTAGTAAAACCCACAAAGTTCTAATAAAGTATAATGGGCTCTCGGATGGTTGATATAGTAAACAGTTGAAAGATATCAAGAAATGGGCCAATTGCAGAGCAGATACAGCTTTTAAATTTTAGGCTACAATTGGCAAGAAACACCTTTGCAATATGGGTCTGTGTGTGTGTGTGTGTGTGTGTGTTGAGAAGAGTTTGTCTCTGAAGACTCCTGGTTTGAACTCTGATGTTGAAGAGAGAAACAACAGTAGTACTTCAGATTGCTTTTGGACTTGAATCATACACTGAAGGCATCCTGCTGATTCACCATAAGTCTATATTTTATAGTCTAAATGCATTTACAACCTTGGTAGGTTTGAAGAAACCTGTCAATGAATTAGCAAGACTCTTCACATATTTGAGGAAAGCTTGCAGCATGAAAGAGATGCATGAAGTTGAGTAACAAGACCAATAATCCTCTGAAGAAATTGTTAATGCAGAAGACAGAAATATACTTAAGAATGATATATTTTTAAATATTCATGGAGACCAAAATTATTAGGGTATGAAGTATATCTTCATTTTCAAAACATTTATAACTGTATTAGGGTATGAAGTATATCTTCATTTTCAAAACATTTATAACTCAGAGGTCAGGGTCTCTGATCATACAACAAAACTGAAATCGAATAACAGAAAGGAGAGTTAAAAAATATCCTAAATAGCCCTGGCCGGCTTGGCTCAATGGATAGAGCGTCAGCCTGCGGACTGAAGGGTCCCAGGTTCGATTCTGACCAAGGGCACATGCCTGGGTTGCGGGCTCGTTCCCCAGTAGGGGGTGTGCAGGAGGCAGCCAATCAATGATTCTCTCTCATCATTGATGTTTCTATCTCTCCTCCCTTCCTCTCTTAAATCAATAAAGAAATATATTTTAAAAAAATAACCTAAATATGTGGAAATTTAAAGATACTTTTCTGAGTTTCTTGTGACTGAAGGGAAATATCAAAATCAAAACTGAAATGACAAACAATTAGTAATGAACCACAATGAAAATCTGCATATCAAAATGTTTGGGTTGGTGATATACTGATATATCGAGCATTGTATAAGCTATTAGGAAATGAGGATGGGAAATAAATCTATTAACAATCATTTTGAGAATGTTTTAAATAGAAATTAATATGGACAAAACAGACATGAAATTAAGTGAATATAACAGCAAGAACATTTTACTTAATGAAATCAAGAACAGCCCTAGCTAGTTTTGCTCAGTGGTCAGAGTGTTGGCTCACCTGTGGACTGAAGAGTCCCAAGTTTGAATCTTGGCCCTGGTCAGGACGTGTTTGGCTAGCAACCAATTGATGTGTCTCTCTCACATCAATGTCTGTCTGTCTGTCTGTCTGTCTCTCTCTCTCTCTCTTTCCTCCCCCCTTTCATTCTCTCTAAAAATCAATGGAAAAATATCTTCCCTTGAGTAAAGATTAAAACAATGAATGAATGAATGATTGAAAGAATGAATGAACAAACGAATGAGCCAAAAACAAATTTACTTTGGAAAAAAAATTAAGAAAATAGAACAGACAAATCTGTCTAAGAAACAGTAAGGAAATACAAACAATATTAGAACTGAAAAGTGAGACCTGCCACAGATAATCCTGTATAATAAAAGGCTAATATGCAAATCAACTGGATGGTGGAACAACCGGTGGCTGTGACATGCACTGACCACCAGGGGTCAGGCGGTCAATACAGGAATTGCCCCCTGGTGGTCAGTGTGCTCCCACAGGGGCAGCACCGCTCAGCCTGAAGTCTGCCTCCCTATCAGTCGGGCATCCCCCTAGGGCTCCCAGACTGCAAGAGGGCATAGGCTGGGCTGAGGGGACCCCCCACCCCCTAGTGTATGAATTTCATGCACCGGGCCTCTAGTGAAGATTATAAAATTATAAGAATGTTCAGAAAGAGAAAGACAAATACCTTATGATTTCACTCATGTGGAATCTTGAAAAACAAACAATGCAAAAACTCATTGATACAGAGCAGATAAGGAAGGGAACATAGAGGAAGGGAATTGGGAAATAGGCAAAAAATGGCGAAGAGGCTCAATTGCATGGTGATAGATAGTAACTAGGTTTTGGGGGCTGATAATTTTATAGTATGTACAGAAGTCAAATTATAATGTGCACCTGAAATTTATATAATAAAAAATAAAAAAGTTACAAGATGCTGTGTATAGTTTTATATTGTAAATAAAAATGTGTTTGAACATAATTATTCAAGCTATAAATTAGCAAAATTGACACAATAAGAGATAAGACAATACTGTAAAAATGGAAAAGTGACAGTTTTGAAATACAGTTCCTTTGCCCCAAAGCACTAGGCTGGGATGTCTTTATGGTTATATTCTGTTTTCCAGGATTAGCAGTCTCCTGCTATTTCAAACTATTTTATTAATAAGGAAAAGATAAAATAGGCTTCCCTGTTTATTTTATGAAATGACTGATACTAAAATATTAGCAACAAAAAATACAAAGGATCGATTTAGCTTAAAAATATAGATACGGAAACTGTAAATTCTGAAAAAGCAAGTTTACAATGTGCTAAAAATTATGATTAAGGAGTAAAAGAGAGAAGAAAAGCAATGTTATTTCAGTGTATGATAAAAAGCTGTGTGATATATTTTAATTGTTGTGCTTCCTAAAGATTCTTAAAAAGTTAGAGTATAAATTTTAATTTCTTAAGGATAGCTCTTGGATCTCATTATTATTAGAAACAAGGTGTGTGATATCCTGTGTGCAGCAGTAATTTGGAGGTTCTGAGCAATGTTATTAAAAAGAAAAAGAAGGGAATTATATATAAGCTAAAAGAAGGGGGCCCTAGCCGCTTTGGTTCAGTGGATGAAGCATCTGCCTGCTGACCAAAAGGGTCCTGGGTTCGATTCTGGTCAAGGGCATGTACCTCGGTTTCAGGCTCCTCGCTGGCCCGGGTCCTGGTCAGGGTGCATGCAGGAGGCAATCAATTGATGTGTTTCTCTCACATCAATATTTCTCCCTGTCTTTCCCTCTCTCTTCCCCTCTCTCTAAAAATCAATGGAAAAATATCCTCAGCTGATTTAAAAAAGGGGGGAGCAGAATTATAATTTTAGGTAAGATGCTTGTTTATCAGGATATTCAAGAAAATCAACTGAAAGGCTGCTCAAGTAGTAAGAGTTCATTACGTAGATACCATGCAAGATAAATGCATAAATATCAATGGTTATTTTAGCAATAGAGTTTATTTACAGTTTTTTCAAAACCCATTAAATATTTTATCCTGACAAGAAACATGCAACATAATGTATACACACATTGTGTGTGTGTGTGTGTGTGTGTGTGTGTGTGTGTAGAAAACTTCACTGAAAGAAGTAAAGGAAGAGCTGAGTAAAATACAAAGAAAAATACCATAATCCTTTATAGAAGGACTTAGTATTATAACAATATCAATTCACACCTACATTTATCAATTCAGTACAATTCTAGTAAAGACTTGTTATGAAAATTAAGTTGATTTTAAACTTGGATGTAAAACAAAACAAAACAGAATCTGATTTTTTTCTTACATTAAAACAAAAGTTCTAAGTAGGTAAAGGTCTGACAAAAAAAATCAAAGTATTAGATGAAGTCAGTAGACTACCTTTAAAATCATAGTTTGGGTGTTTGAAAGAGCAATAATTTTCAAGTTATTAAAGTGAGAACCTCCAATATCGGATTTCTTTTGTGGGCTTACTAATTTTCTCCATTTTTCTACTTATGATAAAGCACAGTACAGAAGCTCTGCTAGCGTGGCTTAGTGATTGAGCATTGACCTGTGAACCAGGAGGTCATGGTTCAGTTCCTAGTCAGGGCACATGTCCAGGTTGTGGGCTTCATCTCCTGTGGGGGGCATGCAGGAGGCAGCCAATCAATGATTCTATCTCATTATTCATGTTTCTACCTCTCTCTCCTTCTTCCGTCTTCCTTCCTCTATGAAATTAATAAAAAGTACAATGCAAAAAAACTACAGATTAAAAGATAGGGCTACATTAATTTTATAAATTACTGTATCAATTAAGAGACAAAGACATTAAAAGAAATGTATGAAATAAATATAACTGAAGGGTAGTATACATATTCTGCAAGTGAAAATATGTGCACAGGTCATGCATGAGTAGTCAATTTACTAAAGAAATAAAAATAATAAAAATAATTTTTTTTCCAAATTTTACTCTCACTTCTATTCCAAGATGCAAATTAAAATAAAATACTACTTTTTGTCCATCAGATGTGTACAAATTAACAAGATTTATATTACCCATTGTTGCAAAGGCTGTGGAGAAAAGGATAATCATATTCATTGGTGGGTGTATAAATTGATAATAGCTTTCTAGAGGGCAATTTCTTAAGTGTTAAACCATGTAAATCTTACAATTTTACTATTAGGATTTTTGTCTGCATGTACTGTAAGAAAATAGGCATAAGAATTTTACTGCAGCATTATTTTTAGCAATAAAAAATAGGAAGTGCCTTAGCTGGTTTGCTCATTGGATAGAGCGTTTGCCTGCAGACTGAAGGGTCCAGGGTTCGATTCCAGTCAAGGGTATATACCCAGATTTCGGGCTGGATCCCCAGTAGGGGGTATGCAGGAGGCAGCCAGTCAGTGGTTCTCTCTCATCATTGATGTTTCTATCTCTCTCTCCCTCTCCCTTCCTGCCTGAAATCAATAAAAATGTATTTTTTAAAAAAAATAGGAAGCATTTAATGTCTGGAGTAGAGAAATAGTTAAATAAATTGCTTTATCCAGATAAAAAATTGGAAAACTATAAACAGCCATTAAGCTGAATGTACTGTCTGACCTATTTTGAAAATGTCCATGATATATTAAGTGAAAGAAAACAATGGCAGAAAGGTATATACTATTTTTATAGAAAGAACATGTGTTTAAACACATAGAAGTATAGTCATGGAATTAACAAAAACTGGTTACTTATAGGAAGTAGGAGTGGGATTTGAGGAATTAGGAGACACTGATTTTTATTTGATACACATCTGTTTTTTGTTTTTTACATTTTTAAATTACCAAAATAAAAGTAAAGTCGATTACATAGATCAATCCATTATAATGACAAGTGTGTTGAAGTGGCAGGGAAAGAACTATTAAAAAATAAGATGAAGACCTAGGATGTACAGGTCTGGTGTCAGCATTTTGAATCTTAGGCATAATTCTCTTCTTGTACAAAATGTACAATGAGAAGTAAATGTGACACTTTCATTCAGTTTTCATACAGTCTCGGAGTTTTAAAACGTTAAAATCAAGGACACGACGTCTGCAGTCCACCTCTGAAAGATTAGCAGAAACACAGTATATAGCACCATCATTTGTGAAGGTAATTTAGACCATTTTTGTTTGTTTGTTTGTTTGTTTGTTTGTTTGAAAGAGCAATAATTTTGTAGTTATTAAAATGAGAACCTTCAATATCTGAGTTCTTTTGCAGGCTTATTAATTTTCTCCATTTTTCTACTTATAAAGGATGAGTATCCTGTGTAATCCTAACAGCAACTCTTCTGGGTGTCAGACTTATCTCTCCATTGGCCTTAGACATCTCACTCTATTTCTTTTCCCTACCAACCTATACCTGCTTATGAGTAGCATCCACTCAAGCTAGTAGCCTGCTGATCAACTTTGATGTGTCCATCTTTTATCTCCCACATCCATTAGTCACTAAGTCCTATTGATCATTAAAATCCTGTTGATCCAACCCAGCTTCTTAAATCTCTTTTTTATCCCCTCCCAGGTCTATTGCATAGACTTTTACAGTAATCTAGGCAAGAAATGGTTACAGGCACTCAGGTAGTCTCCATGCCTTTAGTTTTACTACCTTCAGTTTAGCCTCCAGACTGCCACCCACCAGTCTGTCTAAAATGTATTACATGTCATAATTGTATTCCCCTGCTTTATTGTCACCTGCCATGAAACACAAGGCATGTTATTGTTTGTTCTCTTCTTTACATTTTTTTGTTCTCATCTCTCAATGTGTAACCCCCTCTGTACTCCTACTTTCTTCTTCTTTTGCATTTTAAAGTCCTGTCACATAATCTTGTAGTTCTTCAGCTCTAAAGACTGTTGTTTCATGCCTTTTTAGATTGTCCATGCTGTTTGTTCTCTGTGGCTAAGATATCCCATTCTCTGAAAGGCCTTTCTTGACTTCCTTAGGTAGCATTTAGTTTACCACCATACCTAGTACTTTTGATATAATGTCAAAACTTTATATATCTCTCTCCAATAGATGGAAAGCATTCAGATAATTGTTTATTCATCAAAGGAGTTTGAACATCAAGCAATTAGAACCCTAAGTCAACCTATTTTAAGTATAGTGTTTTTACAGAGAATTTCTTAATTGACATAGGTATAGGATCCACTGTTAGTTTCCTAGCCATTGACTAAGTAATTTATTATTGAGTTTTTATAAAATTTGTCACACTAACAATAAGATTAAAAAATTCTAGAATTTCTATAAATTTTTGAGTGTGTGAGTGGTCAGAATATTTCTGGGGAGTGTTACTACCTTTTACAGTTAGTTAATACTAATGAATTGCTTGTGTATTTAGGGATTTCTTTTGCGGGACAGGGGATCAGATGTTGAGACTTTGGACAAACTCATGAAAACCAAAAACATACCTGAGGCTCACCAAGATGCATTTAAAACTGGTTTTGCAGAGGGTTTTCTGAAAGCTCAAGCACTAACACAAAAAACCAATGGTAAGCTAATTTGACATTCATGTTTGAAGAGAGTATATGAAAGGAAGTCAAAGTTCTACCTTCAAGTGATTATGAATAACTTTCCTACTACTTATCCAGTTTTTAATTGTTTATATTGTATTATGTTTATAACTGAAGTTGTGCAGAAATGGAAATATCTGCTAGTATTTTTCCCTTTCTCAACTGAGAAACCAAAGTCAAGGCTTTATGAAGTTTTTGGTAGCAAGGTGCTAAAAGGAAATTATGGCAATTATGCAAAAGAACACCAGGTCCGAAAAGTGTGTGATGAAATATGATTACCATCAGTAACCTAATGTTTGCATCTCATTGAGCTGTCATTTCTCATTGATATCATTTGATTTACGGCTTTTTCTTTCTTCTCCAGATTCTCTAAGACGAACTCGTCTGATTCTCTTTGTTCTGCTGCTATTAGGCATTTATGGACTTTTAAAAAACCCATTTTTATCTGGTAAAGTTTCTTTTTATTTATCTGATGTACTAATTTAATCTTAAAAAATATTTCACATACTCATTTCTTTTTCATAGTCTATTTAATATTTAAGACTTAAAGAAAGAAAACTTTACATTGATTTGTGGATTACAAGAAAAGTTTCTCTAGGCACTGTACAAATTCAAGTTTTGCGCATTTTGAGAAAATAATGTTTTGTGAAAGTTCCAAGGATTGTGTTAAAGTGAAAATGTTATTTCAACTTCTAGTAGTGATAGTGGTTGGTTTCCTAGATTATAATCCTCACAGAGGTTCACTATTGTTTGTTTTTTTTTAAAGAGAGGAAGAAGAAGGGAGACAGAGAGAAAGAGAGAGAGAGAGAGAGAGAGAGAGAGAGAAAACATCGATCAGTTGCCTCCTGTGTATACACACCTCTACCAGGGATTGAAACTGCAGCCTAGGTATGTGCCCTTACCGGGAAACAAACCCTAAACTTTTTGATGTATGGGATGACGCTCCAACCAACTGAGCCACCTGGCCAGGGATATCTATACCGGTCCAATTATTAAGTTAAAAAAAAATGCAGCAGAATTTTATAATAGCAGTACAAAGTACAAAGTGATACAGTTATTTTAAAGACAAATTAATAAGTTGAATGAATTAAAAATTACTTTATATAAAATTAAATGTGTCCTATAGTTTTTTAGTTTCCCAATCTGAAATGAAGTAATGTGAGGTTTAAGTGGCTCTAATTGCTTTTTCAACTACTATTTTTACTTTCTTCGTGATTACCTTGAGAGAAAAAAACTGATGTATTATTAAGAACATCAGTTGATTTGGATCAGGACTTCATCCTAGAACTCGCATGTAGCCTGAGATATTTTTAGTTTTTTGTGTGACTTGAAACCTGAGACGGGGTTTTTAACATCCAGAAATCGCTTTTACATCTAGATTCACCATCTCATGCTTCCTTCTGTTTTAAAAAAAGAACCAGTGTCCGGCTGGTGTGGCTCAGTGGTTGAACGTTGACCTATGAACCAGGAGGTCGAGGTTTGATTCCCAGTCAGGTCACAAGCCTGGGTTGCGGGTTCTATCTCTCTCTCTGTCTCCCTCTCCCTTCCTCTCTGAAATCAGTAAAAAAAATATACAGGAATTTTTAAAAAAAAAACCCAGTATAGAATAATAGAGTGGGTTGTTAGAGGGAGGGATGGCTTGACCTCTGATTTTTTTTTTAATTAATGGCTTACATTTTGCAAAACACGTTACAGTATGTAATGCACTGCCTTAGGGTAATAACTCTAATTTTTTATATATATATATTTTATTGATTTTTTACAGAGAGGAAGAGAGAGAGATAGTTAGAAACATCGATGAGAGAGAAACATCGATTAGCTGCCTCCTGCACATCTCCCACTGGGGATGTGCCCGCAACCCAGGCACATGCCCTTGACCGGAATCGAACCTGGGACCCCTCAGTCCGCAGGCCGACGCTCTATCCACTGAGCCAAACCGGTTTCAGCATATTAAAGTCTTAAAAAGTAATTTAGTGGGCTAAACTAATTATGTGTATTCTAGAATTGCTATTTTAAATCTGCTCTCCCGACTTGTATGCTCTTGATTTGCTAAGTATTTCTTGTTAATCCTAAGTTTTTGCCTGCTCACATTTGGCTTTTATATTTCAGTATCCTAAAGATAATAGTTGTGACTTATTTTGAGGAAATTAGAAATTACTTAGTTTACTCATTTATATCTGTCTAGTCTGGAAGTTTACCAAAGGGGGAGAAGTTTAAGAAAGCTTTTCGTTGCCTAGTTGATTTGCTTGTTCCCCATAGTTGATCCCAGATATTTTACTATTCTATCAAACTTTTACTATCTGTTTTTAAAAAATATATTTTTATTGATTTCAGAGAGGAAGGGAGAGGGAGAGAGAGATAGAAACATCAGTGGTGAGAGAAAATCATTGATTGACTGCCTCTTGCACGTCCCCTACTGGGGATGGAGCCTGCAACTTCGGGCATGTGCCCTTGATCTGAATCGAACCCAGGACCCTTTAGTCCATAGGCGGATGCACTGAGCCGAACCAGCTAGGGCTTTTACTACCTTTCTTATTCTTAGTGATATCATTATTGGTAATTCATCTAACAGCATATAATAATAGTTGTCAGAGGAAGAAGGCTATTTAAAAAGTGCAAGTGTTAAGTTTTACTTTTTTATTTTTAAATGCCTAGATTTGTATGTTTTGTTATGGCAAAATATTTCGAAGTGTAGATCCCTGACTGGTTGTATCACGATAACTGAAGATGATTGTTAAAAATGCAAACTCTACAGTGCCCTTTTCCTAAATCTACAAACCAGAACTTCTGTGCCATGACCTGAGAACCTGCATTAACATACTTCAAGTGATGTTTATGCATTCTGGAGTTTGAGAACCATTGATTTAAGATTTCTGTCATTGGCTATCCTTAATTTTAATTGGAAAATACAATGATGTAATTTCAACGTGAGTCATTTATTCCTTGAATATGGTCCACAAATCCAAAAAAACCTAGTGTTTACTCCTCACTCTAATTTAGTGTATGTGAAGTTAGATATATAATTTGTCTGGGCTTTGCTTTCTTGCTTAGGAAAAAATAAGGTGGTTGGAATTATATGAATCTTTTAAACATATGAACATTTTCTTTCTTTTAGTCCGCTTCCGGACAACAACGGGGCTTGATTCTGCAGTAGATCCTGTCCAGATGAAAAATGTCACCTTTGAGCATGTTAAAGGAGTAAGTTAAAAAGTTTACCTTCACCTCTTTAAACATTAACTGTATAAGGTTAATATTTTATTTTAAAGGTGTGAATAATAGAAAATATATATATTGGTCTCTGCACCCAGTACCTAGAGCAGAGCTCCTAAAACACTCATAATTTCCTATGTGATGAGAGAACTGGAAGCATCTTTTGTTCAACTATTTGGCCTTAGAGCACTATTTCTGACACAGAGCTTCTAAATCCCTTGGAATTTCTTGGATGATAAGGAGGGTCTTCTGTCCTAATGAGGTGTCTGTTGGTGGGCGATGAGGGCTGGTTACCGGAAAGACCAAGCCATCATTAGAAGCTTGGAGTGCATAGATCTAATCCTTGAGTGAATAGAATGGTTCACTGCTAGTTCATAGGCAATTAATTAAATCATTGGTTTGACAAATAATTAATGGTGTCTTTTAAGTGCCAGTCCCTGTTCTACGTACTGGGATAGAAGAACTGAAAAAAATTTCTGCTCTCATGGAGTTTTAATTCTAACAGGAATTGGACAAGGATATATGGTATATAAGGAAATAATAGATGTTAAGTGATAAAGGATGATGGTGGAAAATGGAGCAAGGTGTAAAGAGGATGGGGAGTTCTGGGATAAAGGTCACAGTTTTATTATTTTTAAAATTTTATTTTTCAAACCACAGCTTATATTCAGTATTATTTTGTGCTAGTTTCAGGTATGCAGTATAGTGGTTAGAACAGTGATGGCGAACCTCTGACACACGTGTCAGAGGTGACACGCGAACTAATTTTTTTGGTTGATTTTTCTTTGTTAAATGGCATTTAAATATATAAAATAAATATCAAAAATATAAATCTTCGTTTTACTATGACTGCATTAATAAAAAAATTTCTATATGTGACACGGCACCAGAGTTAAGTTAGGGTTTTTCAAAATGCTGACACGCCGAGCTCAAAAGGTTCGCCATCACTGGGTTAGACCATCCTCTTGATATTTTCAACACCTACTTGACACCATACATAGTAATTAGAACATTGTTGACTATATTCCCTATGTTGTACTGTATATCCCCATGACTATTTTGTGACTACTAATTTGTACTTCTTAATTCCTTTACCTTTTTCATCTGTTTCCCAACTCTACTTGCCTGTGGCAACCAGCCATTTTTTTCTCTGTATCTATGAGTCTCTTTCAGTTTTATTCATTTATTTTTTTCTTTAGATGCCACACGTAAGTGAAATTATATGGTATTTATCTTTCTCTATCTGACTTATTTCACTTAGCATAATACCCTCTAGATCCGTCCTGGCGAACCTTTTGAGCTCGGCGTGTCAGCATTTTGAAAAACCCTAACTTAACTCTGGTGCCGTGTCACATATAGAAATTTTTTGATATTTGCAACCATAGTAAAACAAAGATTTATATTTTTGATATTTATTATATATATATAAATGCCATTTAACAAAGGAAAATCAACCAAAAAATGAGTTCGTGTGTCACCTCTGACACATGTGTCATAGGTTTGCCATCACTGCCCTAGGAGCTCTATCGGTACAGATATTGCTACGATATCTGTCTGATATTTTGCTGCTTATTGATTCTTCCAAGATTTTTATGGTTTCCCTTCTTATATTCTCAGTCTCTTTATGGACTTCAGAAATTGCACACCATGGGGCAAGGTGTTTTCCAGTAGGGTGGGTCAGCTGTTTTCCCCTCAAGGGCAGCACTGACTATCGCAGTTATCTGTGTGAGAAAGATGACCTCTGCAGTATGAGGAAATGATTTAGCACAGGAAACCGTGGTGCCTGCCTTCTGAGCTCTAATCCCAGATCCCCCAACCCTGGCTTATGCTCAAACAGCTCCAGTCTACTCCAGTTCCTCTGCTGGAGCACAGGGTGACTGACTTACACATGGAAATTTGTGTGTTGTACCTTAAGAGGGTGCCTGCTTTTCCAGCTGTCTCTCTCTTGCAGGCAACAAACCTGCTGCTTTTCACAGTCAGATATTATGTAGGCACCCTTTTCAGTTCTGGTGCTCTCTACTTGGGGTCCATCTTGGGGATTAGACCCCAGAGTTCTCAATATCAATCCCCCACAGCTGAGATATCTCTCTGGTACTTCAGTTGTTGACTGTGGGAGCTCCACCAGCCCCTTTGCACCTCAACTCATCCTACCAGTCTCTATGTAGACTCCACTTTCCATTCTCAGTTATCAGGGTTCTCTCCAGCCAGTCTTCAGTTGATTATTCAGGAAGTTTTTCTGTATTTATTTGTAATTCCGTGTAGCATACACTTACTCCACCCCCATTTTTAATCAACCTAAACCTCTCTCTGCTTGGCTTCCTCTGTAAAAGATTTATATATATATAAACTTAAAATGATTTCCAGTGTCCAGGATATACTATGTTTTTTTTAAAAAAAGCAAAATCTCTAGCCTTCTCAACCAGGAAGGGGGGGCAGATCCATTTTTAATTTTTAGTTTTTCAAAGAGCATGGATTCTACCCAAGTTGCCTTTATATATATATTTAAATTTTATTGGTTTTAGAGAGAGGAAGGGAGAAAGAGAGATAGAAACATCAATGAAAAACATCTATCAGCTGCCTCCTATATGACCCCTACTGGTGATCAAGCCTGCAGCCTGGGCATGTGCCCTGACTGGAAATTGAACCGTGACTTCCTGGTTCATGGGCCAATGCTCAATCACTGGCCGGACACATTTTTAACTTTTTTTAAAAAATATATATTTTATAGATTTTTTACAGAGAGGAAGTGAGAGGAATAGAGAGTTAGAAACATCGATGAGAGAGAAACATCAATTAGCTGCCTCCTGCACACTCCCTACTGGGTATGTGCCCGCAACCAAGGTAAGTGCCCTTGACCAGAATCGAACCTGGGACCCTTGAGTCTGCAGGCCGATACTCTATCCACTGAGACAAACCGGTTAGGGCCATTTTTAACTTTTTGAGGAAACTCCATACTGTTTTCTATAGTGGCTGCATCAATCACCATTCCCACCAACAGTATCAGAGGTTCACTTTTCTCCACATTCTCACTATCACCTGTTTGTTGATTTATTGTTGACAGCCAGTCTGATAGGAGTGAAGTGATACCTCATTGTCGTTTAATTTGTATTTCAATAATTAGTGACATTGAGCATCTTTTTATATACCTGTTGGCCATCTGTATATCCTCTTTGGAGAAGCATCTATTTAGGTCCTCTGCCCATTTTAAAATTTGATTGTTTTTCAATCCCGTTTACCATCGCACCAAAAAAATTAAGCTACCTAGGAATAAACTTAACTAAAGAGGTAAAAGACCTCTACTCAGAAAACTACAGGACGTTGAAAAAAGATATAGAGGAAGACATAAACAGATGGAAGAACATACCGTGTTCATGGATTGGTAGAATCAACATCATTAAAATGTCCATACTACCCAAAGCAATCTATAAATTCAACGCACTTTCCATTAAAATACCAACGGCATACTTCAGAGATCTAGAACGAACTCTCCAAAAATTCATCTGGAATAAAAAAAGACCCCGAATAGCTGCAGCAATCCTGAGAAAGAACAAAGTAGGTGGGATCTCAATACCAGATATCAAGATGTATTACAAAGCCACTGTTCTCAAAACTGCCTGGTACTGGCACAAGAATAGGCATATAGATCAATGGAATAGAATAGAGAGCCCAGAAATCGGCCCAAACCAATATGCTCAATTAATATTTGACAAAGGAGGCAAGAACATACAATGGAGCCAAGATAGTCTCTTCAATAAATGGTGTTGGGAAAATTGGACAGATATATGCAAGAAAATGAAACTAGACCACCAACTTACACCATACACAAAAATAAACTCAAAATGGATAAAGGACTTAAATGTACGACAGGAAACCATAAAAATTCTAGAAGAATCCAAAGGCAACAAAATCTCAGACATATGCCGAAGCAATTTCTTCACCGATACAGTTCATAGGGCATTGGAAACTAAAGAAAAAATAAACAAATGGGACTACATCAAAATAAAAAGCTTCTGCACAGCAAAAGAAACCATCAACAAAACAATGAGAAAACCCACTGTGTGGGAAAACATATTTGCCAATGTCATATCTGATAAGGGCCTAATCTCCAAAATTTATAGGGAACTCATACAACTTAACAAAAGGAAGATAAACAATCCAATCAAAAAATGGGCAAAGGACCTAAATAGACACCTTTCAAAAGAGGACATTCAGAAAGCCAAGAGACATATGAAAACATGCTCAAAGTCACTAATCATCCGAGAGATGCAAATCAAAACAACAATGAGGTACCATCTCACACCTGTCAGACTGGCTATCATCAACAAATCACCAAACGACAAGTGCTGGAGAGGATGTGGAGAAAAAGGAACACTTGTGCACTGCTGGTGGGAATGCAGACTGGTGCAGCCACTATGGAAGACAGTATGGAGTTTCCTTAAAAAACTGAAAATGGAACTCCCATTTGACCCTGTGATCCCACTTCTAGGAATATATCCCAAGAAACCAGAAACACCAATCAGAAAGGATATATGCACCCCTATGTTCATAGCAGCACAATTCACCATAGCTAAGATCTGGAAACAGCCTAAGTGCCCATCAGTAGATGAATGGATCAGAAAACTGTGGTACATCTACACGATGGAATACTATGCTGCTCTAAAAAGGAAGGAACTCTTACCATTTGCAACGTCATGGATGGAACTGGAGAGCATTATGCTAAGTGAAATAAGCCAGTCAATGAAGGAAAAATACCACATGATCTCACTCATTCATGGATAATAGAGACCATTATAAACTTTTGAACAATAATAGATACAGAGGCAGAGCTGCCTCAAACAGATTGTCAAACTGCAGCAGGAAGGCCGGGGAGGGTTGCGGGGCAGGAGGTAGGGGGGTAAGAGATCAACTAAAGGACTTGTATGCATGCATATAAGCATAACCAGTGGACATAAGACATTGGGGGATAGGGGAGGCTAGGGGACTGTCTA